AAAAAAAAAAAAAAAAAAAAAACAGTTCTGAGATTTTATTTTTTTAATATGTATGGTTCGTAAGTTGAAGAATGCTTTGAAGTAATGTTAGTATTTGCAGCTTCTACTAGCGTACGTGTAGGTCACATATCCTCGGGTGGGTAATGTTTTTCTTGGGTAATGCACTTTTAGAAGCTACAGAGGTTAGGAAAGTGATCTTGGTGGCTTGGGGTAATGACAGGAACAAGGCACAAGGAGAGTGTTTTTGGTGCTTTATGTTATCTTGATGTTAATGCTTTGTTTCTTGATCTGATCAGACAAGTTATTACTGTTGACATTATTTTGTGTGAGGTATGTTGTAAGTCTGTTTTCATGACAGCAGCAAGAAAATAAAATCGTTTTTCAGTTCCTGTCATTAAAAAAACAATTCCAGATCAAGAACTTTTATCTAAGTCAGGAAGTCTGTACTTCAGAAATGTAAAGTTTCATCCCAGAGACCTATTAGTGGCCACATGTCTTAAATCATTTTTAAGAAAATAACCTCAAACAAGTAAGTTAATTAAAAATCTAGGCCTCATTTGGATGGAAGTGTTAAAATTAACTAGCCTTTTCTTTTTCTACAAGTTTTTCATTCTACAAATATGAAAGTTTGCATTGATAATTCTGTCTGCATTAGATAATTCAAGCATTATTTAATTATGGAACCATAACCTCAACTTCCTCAAGTTCAGTGTATTGAAAATCATGCTCTCAGATGATAAAAATAGAAGGGTGTGTATTGCTCTTATCAGTAACATATCCAAATATGCTTGTGGCACTGAAAGTATTCAACTTATTAAGTTTTCATTGTATTCAACAAAGAATGTTGCCCAAGTAGAACATAACTTACATGATATATTTTTCTTTGTTCTGAACTGTTGTATTTGCCAAAGCTATCCATAGTGTTCACTATTAATAAAACCTGCCCGCCTAATCATTATCTCCTTGGAACACATATATTTTTAGTGCCCACTCCCCATCTGCTGTTTACTCATTCTTCAAAATCCAGCTCAGGGGATGACAACCAAACCCTCCCTCTTCCTCCAGGCCCCCTGTGATACCTTTAAATCTTTTTATAAACCTTTGTTATCACCTGTTAGATTCACTTGTCGAGGTCTTGTCCTCTTCTGTGCTCTGGACATCTTTGGCAGTCTGTCTGGTAAAGCTTGTGGATCCCATCTCTGAATAATGTTTTAAATGCATAATACACACAAGATTATAAAGGAAGCTAATTATGTTGAAACAGTTCTGTCCCCTTCACTCTTCACCCTGCAAGAACTATAAATTTAGTCCACCTCATCCTGTGGATTATTTCAACTTTGTTTCCTCAGAATTTAGTGCATATTTGACACACTTAGATTTTTATTGAACTGATTTAGATTTGTTTTATTGAGACAGGGTCTTGTTTTGCTACCCAGGCTGGAGTGCAGTGGCCCAGTTATGGCTCACTACAACCTCCACCTCCCAGGGTCAAGCCACTATCCCACCTCAGCCTCCCAGGTAGCTGGGACTACAGGTGCATGCCACCACTCCAGATAATTTTTTTTTTAAGGTTTTTATAGAGATGAGGTCTCACCATGTTGCCCAGGCTGGTGTAGAACTCCTGGGCTCAAGTAATCCTCCCTGTTCAGACTCCCAAAGTGCTGGAATTATAGGCGTGAACCACCACGCAGGCTGATTCAGATTTTATTGTCATTGGAAGGGAGGATAATCCACCTAAGTCTTGATTGATTTAGGTTCTTTGATCTTAATTTTGCTTTAATTTTGTGTCATTTCTATGTTAACTTTAATAACGTCTTTTTTTATACTTTTAATTTTCATGAAATACCATTAATGCCAGTATGTTTTTCAACAATTCGGGTTAATTTTCAGGAGGACCTAGGACAAGGGAAGAATTTACCTTTAATAAAAACTTTCAAAGCAAAGGAGTTTTTATTTTTATTTCACATTTACTAATTATATTGCTCAGAAAACTATCGTGGTTAACTCAAAGGATTGTTTTCAATCAAAGAGATTTTTATGAGCACTTGAGGAGAAAACCCATGCCTACCATAATTTAGTCATGCAATGGTGGAACTTAACAAAAGACAGACATTGTATATCTTTAATTTCCTTGCTGTCTCCCTCCAGTGTACTATAGACCTTAGAAAAATCATGGCACTATATATAAAGGCATACATGTTTTTAAACATCTAGATTTTCTTTTGTTATAGGAAATTTATTATTCCCTTGATTGTCTTAGCTCTTCATTCATACGCAGTGCTCGTCGGCCTGAGCCACCTGCATGGTAACAGGGCTGTTGAGAGAACTGAAAGCAGCAGTGATGATGGGGACTTCTTGTACTCTAAGATGCATATGTTGAATCATATATCAGATAACGCTTTGGTCCTTGGTGTTTGAAACTTTTGATAGAGCTTGAGTTTTATATTCCATTTCTGTGCTGTAAGTTAACTGTGTTTTAAAAATAAAAGCTTGTTTCCAAGCTTTTTCAAGTTCAGTGACTAAAAAGCATTGGGTTGTCTGTTCTGTGTTTAGGCCAAAACAGCTTCATGAAATCCCAGCCTTTTATTGTCCTGACAAAAACAAGGTGAATTTCATTCCTAAAAGTGGATCTGCTTTCTGCCTCGTCAGCATCCTCAAGCCACTCCTTCCCACTCCTGATCTTACACTCAAGGGCTCTGGCCACAGCCTGACAGTCACCACTGGCATGACCACCACTCTGCTGCAGCCTATTGCTATGGCCTCCCTGTCTACAAACACAGAGCAAGACCGAGTCTCTCGAGGAACAAGTACAGTCATGTCATCAGCTTCTCTACTCCCACCACCAGAACCAATTGAGGAAGCTGAAGGATAGGTCACAGTGCTACATGGCTCTTGTTCTGGGAAATTGGGAACCGCCTCAGATCACTGGATTCTGATGGCATCATGCGCTTCTTGTCAGCTGTGATGTGCTCCAGCTTTCCAGTGACATGTGATGGTGAGGCTTCTGGAAGAAAGGAATCCCCCGTGACGGCTCTGCCCCACTCGTGAACACCAACCCTCAGTGCTTAGCCTGCTTTTTATCAAAGCACTGATTGAAACAAGAAAGGTCTCATTCTTTATCTTTGGAGAGACAATATCACATTGTTTTCGAATTAGACTTCTTTAAAACACACACACACACACACACACACACACACACAACTTTGGAGAGACAATACACACACACGATCCTTGCAAGAGAACACACACACACACACACACACCCTTGCAAACATGATTCCTAAAGGGAGATGTGACTGATGCTGCAAGAACCATCTTTTCTATGAAAATGACTATTTTATAATATACCAATGTTACATTTTCTGAAACGTAGCAAAACAGGATGTTCAAAAGATTCTTTGGTGGCCTCTGTTTCTTGTTGCTTTCTAGATGTGTGCTATTCTCAGCTGTTTTCAGCTTTGGGACCAAAGGGATTGTTGACGTTTTCCCAGTAATCTTAATCTCATGACTATGAGATTAAGGATTAATCTCCCAAACAAGGATTGATAGGTAAATGCATTGAACAAGTATATATAAAAAGAGATAAAAAGCAATATTTGTATATTATGTGATTTATGTTTTTTGATGTCAAAAGTTTGTGCTTTGGGTGATATATTTGTATAACTGCTGTTTTCTTCGCTACTATACACATTTCACCTTGTGGTCAGAAAATTGTAGTCTGAAGACAAGTGCTTTAATATGTTCTCACCCATATTGGAATTTGATTTAAAAGTCAGTAAGCCAAAAGGAAACTATCCAGTGTTGATTGCTAGCTAAGAGTAAGGAGCCCCGTTCGTTTTCTGTGATATATATAGACACACACATATATATCACACACTCTCCCTTCCTCACCACAGGTGTCATTCTACCTTTAATCATCACTGTATCATAGCCCCAAGAGATCCTGAAATGGCTGTGCATGGATTTCCTCCTTTGCCCTTGTGATGTTGTTGTCTTGTGGATTTGGTTGGGCTAGTAGTTTGCCAGGAGTGTAATCCAGTGGATAGTGATCCGAACCGTAGCCGCAGAATCCTGTGACTGACATTTTCTTTGTGGTGGTGGTTGGCCTTGAGATTTGTTGCCTACAGATTTTGCTAATTTACCCCCTAACACTTCACATAGTGGGGAAGATAGACAAGAAGAACTTGAATATGAACGATAAGCACCTTTGAAACCTCCATACAGTTTTGGATTTGGGCTCATCCTAATACAAATCACTGCCAGTATCACATGATATCAGTATTTGATTTCTGGGTATGTGGTAGTGAGATTAAGGAGCAGCTTTTTTTTTTTTTTTTTTTTTGAGTTTTGCTCTTGTTGTCCAGGCTGGAGTGCAAAGGTGCAGTCTCAGCTCACTGCAACCTCTGCCTCCCAGGTTCAATTAATTCTCCTGCTTCAGCCTCCCAAGTAGCTGGGATTACAGGCATGTGCCACCATGCCCAGCTAATGTATTTTTAGTAGAGACGGAATTTTACTGTGTTGGTCAGGCTGATCTTGAACTCCTGACCTCAGGTGATCTGCTTGCCTCACCCTCCCAAAGTGCTGAGATTACAGGTGTGAGCTACTGCACCTGGCCAGGGAGCAGCTCTTTTTAAATGTAAGTTTCAGCAAACTATTGAATAAAAGCATCCTTTTAATATCTTCATATACTACCTTATGATGCAATAACTTACTGTTCCTATACATATTGATATAGGTAGAAAGAAGTTTTTAAGTCCTTATAAAAAGGATTCAGTTTAGAAGATTAATATGTCAGCTTATCCAGACATATTCTATCAAGGAAAACCTAGTGGGTAGCAATAAATCTTCTGAAAGGACTTCTTATATTCACGTACCTTTAAAACATCTAAGTAATTTAAAATAATCACCTTGAGTTTTAAATTGAGACGTATTGAGGTAAATCAGATAAATTCAGACATCTGAATAAATCTGTCAGGTTTTAGATGGTAGGATTGATGAACTTTGGTACTTTCTCCATCCAAAAAACTATTTGGAACAAGTATGTTATGGCTTCTCAGTTATTAAAAGCTCGGTTGTTTGGAGTCCACATTTTCTCACTGCGAGCCTTGAAATTTTGCCTTTCTTTCTTATGCAGTATATCTTGACTATCACCACTGAGTATCTGCTGTATCAGAGTTCAGAAGAAAAGGTAAAACTGAAATCAGAATGGGGGTAGAGGGAGTTGAAAAAAAGTTATTTAAAAAGAACCCTCAGTTTTTTGATTACTTGAATTTTATTCAGTCTGTGTTCTTGGCTTTGCACTTCCTTCTTCATCTCTGCTAGTGACAGTGGCATTTTAGAACTAGAATGCCACTCTGCAAAGAGGTTTTCCGTTTTGCTCTGTTGTGCATATTTGTCTAATTCATCTCTTTCTGTGGAGTTTCATATATCTTTAAAAGTAACTTAAAATTGGAATGGAAGAACAAGTTTCAGAATTATTTACAGTCTTATAAATAGAACGTCTAGTCTAATGTTTGGTTGTAAGGAGAATGTGAATTTGCAGGTAAGTGAATTGTTTGGCAACCAGACAGATCCCTGGGGTTTGGGAGAAACAGAGCTTGAGATTTGAAAAAAAGGTACAAGGTGCAAAACAACTCTAACTGCCAGTGCCAAAGGGCTAATTTCTAAGCATGTAAGCTTTATCACAGTCTTGAAAAAAATTAACCATAGGTTCCTTCAGCTGTTTTATTTAACCCTTAGTTCCCTGGTGGTTTTTTTTTTTAATGGGTCTCCAGCTTTCCAGTGAAATGTGATACTATTCTCAATAGAATGCATAATGTTGGTTTCTAAAATTACACTCCATAGTTATTGTTATTCTGTAGAAAACTGTACAGAAGGTAAATAGAATAGCTTCAATGGAAATATAATTTAAAATTTTTTAATTTTATAAAAATTTACTTCCATTGCATTAAAAGAAATGGGTAGCATGTATCTTTCAGAGAAAGGAGCTATTCTTTGGTTATTTACTTTGTCAAATCTTAGTTTTTTTCTTAATTCTTAAACAATTTCTCTGTGATGATAAAAATTACATAAATTTACTGTTTCTGATGGTGACTAAGTCTATTACTTTTCATGGCTTTTGTAAGCAACTATGTTTTAAAAATACCAGTTTTGCCTCTTTTGGTTATATGTGGTAAGCATGGATGTCAAGATTATTTTTGAACTAGATTATTCAATTTGTTTTATGTTTCTTATACTTAATACTTATGACCACAGGCCAAATCAGTCTTTTAGAAGGTGCTCTTGCTAACTGTGGAATATCAGACAACATGAAAGTCCTTTTTTGCAGCTTTCAGTGGTTGGCTTTTTCTGAAAAAAAGTGTAAAAAAAAAAAAAAAAGACAAAATTTATAGCTTTCACTATGTCCAAGACTAGGACTGGGTTATAAAGATTTTCTTTTGTGAAGGAAAGTAAAATTTGCCACTGCTGCATTTACTTTACTATTGTAAACTTAAGATTCATTCCTTAGTGCTTGGAATTTTGATGTCTCAAAACCTGATGAGTGGAAGTGTTGAATTTGCAAAATAAAGCTAAGAATGCTTAACTTTGCACTTTAAGGTTTAAGTTTTACTCTGACCAAATTGATGATCAGCAAAGCAGCCCTGAACAGCATTTTGTTTATACAGTCTTGTTGAAGAATATGGTTTTTCTTAACTCTTCATTTTTTTGTCTCTGTTGAAGCTGTGTAAATCTTTTTAAAACACAATTTTAAACATTTTGTTATTCTAACAGTTATCTCAAAAAACAGCATTTCCAATGGTAATGGGTATTGTTCCGCTGTACTTATGTATTCCCTGTACCTGAACACTTGTTGTTGCCTCACAAGAAAATAGAACTTTTATGTTTAAAATAAAGTCTGTTCTTCTTGAGTTTTTTCTGTGAATTTTTATAAATACTGTCTCAAATTCAAATTACATTCATTTTTGGACTGGTTATCTAGCTTTTTCTTCTTCTTTTTTTTTTTTTTTNTTTTTTTTTTTTTTTTTTTTTGGCTTTTAAGTGGTACATTGGTTTTCTCAAACTAATAGAAAAATAATGTGTTTATGTTCAGCAGCAGGTTCCTTGCTCCCTCTCACTCGCCCTAGATCTGAAAGTACCTGCTCTTTGTGGTAAGTGCTAAGTACACATTAAAATATAAGCAGCACACGAGAGATAGCTATGTGTGGGCAATCCACTGCTTCACAGTTTTGTTAGAGGTAACTTAGCTGGGGCAGTCACTTAAATTCATTATAAAGTGCATACAGAGGAGTTTTTTTGTTTTGTTAATTCTTGGTAATTCAGTCATATTCTTTGTGACAGTGGCTTATATATGCAAGACAGTTGTTCAATTTCAGGGGACAGTTCAGTTTCAAGGGTTTTGTCTGTATCCACAGAACAGCTGGTCAGAAGGCTACACTAACTTGCAGGAACACATTTTAAGTGACATAAAAAAGTCACCACAGTAATCTGGTCACCAAATTAAATTTTTTGTTTGTTTTCAGATAGAGCCTCTGCTGTGTTGCCCAGGGTGGAGGACAGTGGCACAGTCACAGCTCACTCAGCTCACTGTAGTCACAAGCACCTGGGCTCAAGGGATACTCCTGCCTCAGCCTCCCAAGTGGCTGGGACCACAGGTATGTGCCACCACGCCTGGCTGGCTGGCTGGCTATTTATTTATTTAAGAGACAAGGTCTTGCCACATTGCTTAGGCTGGTCTCAAACGCCTGGCCTCAAGTGATCCTCCCACCTCTGCCTCACAAAGTGCTGGGACTATAGGTGTCACCCATTGCCCCTAGCCTGTTAAAATTTTTGAAATATTTCTGAGGAAAAAAATTAGCCAGTTTAGGGATAGCTAATATATTTACACAATAATTTAACATAGTATCAAATGCAAAGAGAATCTCTAAAATTGACACAAGTTTTCTCCCTTTCTTTCTCAGTATTCCCCCACCTCCACCTTTAAAGAGTTTGAGAAGAGCAAATATGTGACATACAGTCCTTGTAGTCTCTTCACAGTGTTGGTGGGGGCGCGGGGGAGGGAGATACTCAGCTCGTAGGTTCTTGGCCTCTCTAACCCCAAAGAATGGGGGAAACGGCCCTGGAGGTGCAGTGAGTCTATGGTTCAAATAAATATCGTGGACCCAAAGAGTTTTGAGGAAGAGCGATTTATTAGAAAGAAAGAAGACAGCTCCCACGCTGTCGTGGTAGGGGATCCAGAGAAGGAATCTGTTCAGGTAGGAGCCCCTGAAGTTTTAACCCTTGTTATTCCCTCCCCATTCATGTTCTTGTCCAATGAGAGGAGTTCTTTCAAACTTCTGGATTGATTGATCTTTGACTCTGATACTGGATTGGCTACTTGTTTTACAACCCTAAGTCACAGAGCCCCCGCCTCCAAAAGCTTTGAGGGGAATTTGGGACAAAAGAGCCCCCACCTGGCTTTCCCACTCATGGGAAGATCAGACAATTTTACCTGGCCCATGTGGAGGGGGTGCTCAAAGAGCCCCAGCTGCCCGGGGAGCCGGCAAATTCCTTAATTTGAAACCCCTCTGGTCTCAGCATGGAGGCCTGAAGTCAGTGCTCAGAGTGTCCCAGCCTCCTGAGGTGGGACCAGGGAAAATTCTTGCATTTGAAACCCCTCCCCTAGCGGACTCAGGAAGAGAAGTTTCTTTAACATAATCCCTCAATAGCACTTCCCTGCTAATGTGTAACGGATACTGTTCTTTTTTTTTTTTTAACTTTGGTAAGATTAGGTGTGCTTTTAAAATATATATATTTAAATTCCTAGAATACAGTATGATAATACCAATAGCCCTTGTAGCTCTTTAATTCAGTGTTTTCCGAACTGTTTGGGTCTTGAAATGAACTAAATGGGTTCAACTAACTTTAAGCAGAATAGAAAACATAAGTATATTCATACATAAGGAGAGTATTTTTCATGTGTAAAACATTGGTTAGATATACATATATATATATATATGTCCTAGCTTGTAGTGTAAAAAGCATTTCTTACTGAGGGTTGTATTAAAACGATATGAAGAATATTGCTGTAGCTACAGCATTTAGGTTTGTCTGGTATCTTTCTTTCTTTTTTTTTGGTGAGATAGAGTCTCGCTCTGTTGCCATGCGCCAGGCTGGAGTACAGTGGCGTGATCTTGGCTCACTGGACCCTCCCCTCCCGGATTCAAGCAATTCTCCTGCCTACCAGCATGCGCCACCACGCCCAGCTAAGCTTTTTATTTTTATTTATTTATTTATTTTTTTAAGTAGAGTTGGAGTTTCACCATGTTGGCCAGGATGATCTCAATCTCTTAACCTCATGATCTGCCCACCTCAGCCTTCCAAAGCTGGGATTACAGGTGTGAGCCACCTTGCCTGGCCTGTTTGGTATTTTAATGCAGAGATGAGACTGGAGTCTTCAAGACATTGTTTCTACTGCCCTTTAATACATAGCTCCAAAATTTCTAGGTTTTATAAAAACAAACCAAAAAAACCAGAATACTTTCATCAATTTCTATCATCCTCAAACTGAGAATGTATCTCCATATATTCTAACTTTGACTTTATGCACTAGTTTGGATTAGTCCTGCTGCTAAATCATTGTTTTATAGAAGACTATCAGGAAGGAAGTCTCTGATAGTTAAAAAGCAAGAGTATAACTATTTATCTCAATTCTGTAAAGTAATTCTTTTTCGATCATTGGGCCTAATGTTCATGGGATCTTGGGCCAAAAAGTCACTTTTGTTAACCTGTTTTATTTGTGTGATTAAAGAAATGCTGACAATAGTGCTATCACTTAGGAAATATGAAAATATAAAACTGTAAGCAAACATTTATCTTCCTTCATATTTTGTCAGGTAGTTTATTCATTCTGTAGGAGAGCCAGTGGTTTTGGTCCTGGAAAGTGTTCTCATAAAATTCATTTTAGCTTGTAAAGTTTAAAATTGTCAAAGATAAACTGAAATTGTAATAAAAATTGATAATGCCTATTGATAGCTTACCAAATGTCAGACACTTTACATATTACTTTTACTCTAATCTTTATAATAACCCTTTGAAGCCAGGTACTGTTATTTTTACTATCATGGAGATAACAAAATTGGAATTAGGTTAACTTTTCCATGGTCATACATCTGGGAGATGTCAGAGACTGGCTTTGAACCAAGTCTGACTCTGGAATTCAGAGTTAATTATGAAGTCTTACTGCTACTTTGCTTGCACCGGTGACACTGATAAAGATGTTGGTGTCATTGCAGTTGTGACATTGGGCCACATTGCCTTGTTGTTCTTTGTGATCCTCTTCATTGCTACAGCTGCTGACAGCTTAGTTCAGAGGGTCAAAAGAAAGGAGCTGGTTAGTTATTCAGCTCCTAACCAAGGATGTTAGCGACAGACATTGTTAAACTGTCAGATTTTTAATGTTGCTATAGCTGCAGAAAATGAAAAGAAATACTTTCTTTAATTTGGGGAGCACAAAAAAAATTGGGGGAGCACATCTTTTAGGGAGGCAAAAACTTAACCAGTCACATTTCTGGTGGATTTTTTAATTCACCTGGCCTTTTTGAGAGAAACACTTAGAGAGTTGGTTTTTAAATCTCTGTGACTTGGTATGCCCATTTTAGAGAGAGAGGACAGTAAAATCATCTGGATCACAATTCAAGTGTGTGCTTGAAGGCACTACAAAAAAATAAGCAAAAATATGTTAATAGTGGATATTTCTAGATGTGCTATGGCTGATTTTTTTCTTCTAGAAGATACTGCTTTAAAATGGGGAAAAAAGAAACAACTTTTTCATGTTTTTTTGTGTGATTTTTTTTTTTTTAGGTGATTGTCAGTGAGGTGTAGCCACAAGAGATATCACAGGAGAGACACAGGAAAACAAGTTGTATTATACTTACAGGTCCTAGAGAGATGGTCACTGCATGCTGAGGGGGGGTCACCTGGGCAGGGCTCAGCCAAGCAGGTGGGGAGCAGAGTAGGCCTAAGACATGAGCAGGAGCCTTCAGATTAGAGAGAAGCACACAAGAAAAGGTGAGAATTTCACTGGTGTATTTAAATATTACTAGGTCATGGTGAGGGCAAAGTAGCAAGAGAGACTTGTGGCAGGGGCCACCCACATCACACTGGGCCAAGTGCTCACAGTTTGTTTGTGGAGTAGTTGTTGAGGCAGCAAGAAAACAAGAAGTTTAAAACGTACAGTACAAATCTAAAAACATACACTGCAAACTCTCACCCATGACACCAGTCAGAACTTCATCTCCTTTTTGTATTTACTCTTTGGCCAATAGTGGTTGATTTACACCATTGAGTGAAGAACCATGGCTTGACTTTAAATGCCAAGGACAGTTTGTTTTGAACTCTTCAGTAGTCTTTTAAATGGTATAGAAAAGATGGAAAAATAGTTTATGTTGGTCTTCTGGATGTGACCATCCTAACCAACCATTTTTCTTCTCATCTTGTCCCACAGAGTTTGCCATGTTTAAACACTTTACTGTTGCTTTCAGTTCTGTTGAATTAATATTTTAAAGGTGATTTTTCCTCCTAATTTCTATATTCTGAAATTCTGGGACTGCTTCATTGCTCAAGGTAGAGAAATGCAGGGCCCTGCCAACACTATGGAAGACAAAAATAACTGAATCAATTCTGGCTCTTTTTATTCTCGCCTTTAATAAGTAAGATTACATACTGTGGCTTATATTTAATTGTTTATGTCTAGGCTCAGATTTTTGATATTTGATAGTTTTTGTTACTGAAAGTACTTACAGAAATAACATACATTATGTAATTTCCCATATCTTACATAGTCCCGTCCTATGTGAAATAAATTAGAAGGAATTAGTCTCACAAGGATTTTTTTTTTTTTTTTCGAAGACAAGAATCTCACTCTGTCATGCAGGCTGGAATGCAGTGGCCTGATCTTGGCTCACTGTAACCTCTACCTCCTGGGTTCAAGTGATTCTCCTGCCTCAGCCTCCCAAGTAGCTCATATTACAGGCAACCATCACCACACGCAGCTAATTTTTATATTTTTAGTACAGACAGCGTTTCTCTATGTTGGTCAGGGTGGTCACAAACTCCTGACTTCAAGTGATATGCCCTCCTTGGCCTCCCAAAGTGCTGGGATTACAGGTGTGAGCCACCACACCTGGCCTAACAAGGATATTAATTGCCCTAGTTTTTTTCATTTTCCCATGCCCACCATATCATCAATTCAATGTAGTTTCCTAATATTGTGATCTTGAGGTAAAACTCAAGTTTTTGAATAGGAAAACAATAATTATATTTGTATTAAACTCTTCAGGAAACAAACTTGTTTTATGCCATCTTGCAGTCTTTATTAAAGGAGGCTCAGAAAAATAGAAGGAGCACATTTAAACTTCCTTCATTCTAATGCTGTAAGACCTCTACATTTCTAGATGGTCCATACAGATACATGAAATATTTATAGTTGACATACAAAACACTTTTTCAATGTGCAAATACTGAAACCTGTTTCATTTAAATACAGTTTGTTTCTAATCATATCGATGTTCTACAATTTAATGAAGGATTTCAAAAAAATACAAAATTACACCAATCTGATCTTGTTATGCCCTGGTATTCCTGCCTCTCCCAAAACACGGTTGTAGATACATTAGGCAAAGTTTAGCTCATCCAGTGTTTTTTAAACGCAAACACATTCTTATCCAGTATTAAGTAAGTACAGATATTTCTGCCCATTTAAAATACCTATTTTGAGGGTTGTTCTCAGCCTGCCATTGGTTAAGGATAATTAATTTCTTATTGAATGGATTATCTAGATTGAAACAAAAAGCAACCAGTCATTCTGTATTCTGTGCTTATCCATCCTTTCCCTCCTTTCTTCAGTGTGGTGGTTTTTTATATTAGTAATTTTGGTTTAATAGAGCAAAATTTCTCTTTCTGACCACAAAATTGCTGAGCTTCAAATAACTAATCTTGAGAAAATATGAATATGGTTACCTTTATCTTAAAGTTATTGATATGCTCTTTATAAATAGTGGTTAGACTTGTTGGAAGTTTTTTTTTGTTTTTAAAATTTTTTTTCTTTTTAAGACAGGGTTTCACCATGTTGGTCAGGCAGGTCTTGAACTCCCGACCTCAGGTGATCCGCCCACCTTGGCCTCCAATGTGCTTGGATTACAGGCGTGAGCCACCACGCCCAGCCGACTTGTTGGAAGCTATAACGACTTGCTAAGGAACTTAATGTTGCTCTGGGTTAAATGGAAAACATATACTCTGTTAAAAGAAGAAATGTTACAGAAACTAGTAACTGAATAATAAAAGTCCCTTGTAAGTCTCCACTTGGGGAAAAACTCTGCTTTTGGAAAACTGAGGGTGTTCCTAGTATGGACTTTGGGCTTCTGCTTTTCCTGCTTATTGAAGCGTCTGTCTGTATCAGAGAATAGGGACCGCCTTGCATGCATGTGAGGGAGATAAATGAATATCTCAGAACTAATGCATTAGCACAGCGACCACTGCAAAGAAAAATGGTACAAACTCGCAAGACATAAAGTTAGCATTTTTTGAGGCACTCAAAAGTTGAGAGCACCAGAGTCACCATGGGTATAGAATTCAGATTGGGATTCATAATCATGATCTTTCTATTGGAACTTGGCAGAACAATGACAGTATTGCATTCTGGGAAATTTAACTGATTATAAAGGAAGACAGTGCTTCTGAAGAGATAAATAATGACTCATTAAAATCAAAGAAATAGGAATAATATTGTGAAAAGATTTTAAGAAAAGACTTCATACCTTTTTTCTGAGTTGATGTTTCTGACCCTCAGATAAGGTTGTTCCAGCCTATACAGTCGTTGGCCATTTAGAGCTTGTGGGAAGTTACTATTGTAGATGACTGTGAATGGGAGGTGGACTGTGTTTTACCTACTCTGGTCCAATGTTTTATACATACTATGACTTGAACATCACAAGCAATTATCTTCTAAGTAAGCATGTTTAGAATAGGACTAAGAGCACATGGAAACCATGGTGAATAATTTAGTCAAAACGTCATCTTATGGAAATGCAATGGACTGGATGACAAACATAAAACACTTGGGAAACTGCTTCAAAATTAAAGGGTGGCTAAGAAAAAGGACAGGAAATTGAGTGATTGACATGTGTGTACAGTAGCTCTGTTTTTATCAGCTTACACTAACTTCCATTAAATAGACTTCCCCTCTAATACTTAGGTTCTAAACCCTGTAGGGGTAACAGATTTTGCTTAATAATCAAATAGAGCCTCAGATGATGTCACCCACAGAAAGAGGGAAGTAGAAAAATGAGACACTCCCTTATTGATCACACAGAGCTTTCTGTATCTCTGCCAGAAAGTATTCTGGGTTAAATTATGTCACAAAATATACAAATATATGTAAGGATAAGATGTTCATAAGTGTCTCCCTCATTCAGATAGAAATTTCGAGGTATTTCAGGACTACTACTGCCGGTTGCTTAGGGAATATTCTCCTCCCCCCCCCATTTTATTTTCAGGAATAATATAAATACTGCATAATGGCATAATAATATATAGCAAGTGTATGAAAGAGTGGGTCTGAAGATACTTGCCCAAGTCTTAAGTATTACTATGCATTCTGAGGTTTAGGAGACGGGAAGATAGATTTTTCTGTTTCTACAGAGAATGGGCTTAGCAAATTAATTACCCTGCTGCTTCCCCTTGAAGATTTAATAATATAGGAAGTGTCCATTATTTTGTGTTAATAAAAAAACATTACATTTTAGCCTCCAAATGAAAAAAAACAAGTAGCAAATTTTCTTTGTGATTTCATTAAAGCAAACTGAGTTCTCAAATCTTATTTTACCTCTCTAACCCAAAACAAAGCTGATCTGGTTCTAATGCTATTTTCTAAAACAGAAAATACTCCCTGCCACTATGTCATTCAAAAACTGACCCCAAACTACTACCCAATTTACATGCTATCTTTTTTATCCACATATAAAATTTTTATCTCACAGCCAGCAAGGCAACTTAAAGATAAAAAGGTTTCCAAAGAAATAAACTCAACTCCATATTGACAATTATTCCTAGCCGTTATTTTGACATAAATTCCAGTATCTAAATATTGCAGACTCCGTAGTTTCTAATATTTTCCACATAGTACTAACAGCTGCAAATCCAAGATATGAAAGATGTACTTAACCTATTCAAATGTGGTCTTTGCCATCTGTCTAAAGTTGGCTGACAGGTGTTATATTCAGAAACACCATGCTTTTGTGTGTAGGTTACAATATAAACTCCTTTCCACAAAGGAAATATGTTGCAAAATTGATATCTCAAGGCCGTTGAAGTGACATTATAACTTCAGTCAAGCATTAAGAAGTTCATCATCTGAATGTCCAATAGCATCTGGGTTTGAAAGTGGATCCAAGTCTGCAAATAGATTGAACCAGGCTGACATGTCTTGGTTACCATTGTTGGTGGCTATTAAAAAAGAAAAAAAACACATTAAAGAGTTTCAGTTTTGAAATCATGTTTTTGTACCACATTTATGATTTTGAATTAGGTGCTTCTTTTGAATTAAGAAAACTGGGCCAGGTGTGGTGGCTCACGCCAGTAATCCCAGCACTTTGGGAGGGTGAGGCAGGCAAATCACGAAGTCAAAAGGTCAAGATCAGCCTGGCCAACATGGCGAAATCCGGTCTCTACTAAAAATACAAAAATTAGCTGGGCGTGGTGGTGCATGCCCCTAGTCCCAGCTACTGGGGAGGCTGAGGCAGGAGAATCACTTGAACCTGGCAGTGAGCAGAGATCACACCACTGCACTCCAGCTTCCGTCCTCAAAAATAATAATAATCTATCAATTATAGTTCCTTTAAGACTTTTTTTTTCCCCTCGTAGAAACTGGGGTCTCCCTATGTTGCCCAGACTTGTCTGGAACTCCTGGGCTCAAGTGATTCTCCCACCTCAGCCTCTGAGAACACTGGGATTATAGGCGTGAACCACTGTTTCTGATGTAGGATAATTTTGAAAGGCAAATGCAGATAACTTGTGCTTTGCTGAGCCTCCTATATTTAAATAATTGTATGCTGCTCTGAGAAAGGAACTGAATTAAAAGTGAAAAGGCAAGCAATACTGTAGTCTTTATAGAACATTTAAGATCACTTATAGGAGACTCAGATGAGATTTAAAATTAAAAGTAAACTTGTTCATGTCAAGTAAGAAATGACATTTGTAAACACTGCTCCAAGTTGATTTATGTTTATTATAAAAGTGGTATTACAAACATACTAGACATAAGGAACAAGGTCCGCCTAATCTTACCACATTAGCACAGCCAACATTGTCATTTTGGTTTACAGTTGTTTTGTCTTTTCCATGTGCACTTTAAAATGTTTTGATATACGCCTTTTACAGTATGCATTATATCTCAGGCACAGCTTCTTGTTCATCAGATCCCTCATACCTCCTTAAGGAGATGGAAAATTTTATTTCTCTAGATTCTAAAATTTGCATTGTGGCAGATATTCAAGAATGTCTATTTGGGCAGAGGGCTGGGACTAAACAAGAATGCATAGTGGCACAGACAGTGGGTCATCTCAGAAGTCTAGGACCTTGAAAGCCAAGGAGTCTAGAAAGCAGGGTTGAGACCCAGAGGACAATCTAAGAACTGGACATGAATCCAGAGTGACAGTGTGGAGGGTGGAACGCAGTCCCACGGGCAGTCCTCTTTCACACATCGTGGTAACACTCACCACAGACCAGAGGGCTGGGGTTTCGGGTGTGGGGACCCAAAGCCCCAAGGATCAGGGCAGAGTGAAAGGCTTCACTCAGTGTGTGTCCAGTTCTGTTTCTGAGTACCCTGAGGTAGAATCAGTGATACCCACACAAAATATGGCTTTGAGTCCTGGGTGTACACCTACTAAATGAGAAATACTGAGCAAGTCATTTAACCTCAGGGCTCTTGTCTCCTTATCTGTAATGTAGTAACCATACAATTCATCATTAAATCAGGATGCTTGAGGGTAAACAGAGTCACCATTAGTCATTATACCAGAAGAATAGATGTCACTAAGATAATATCTGACCTCCTTCATGCAGCTGTTGAAGAGTCCTGAAAAGTATGTAAATATTGTACAGCATCATGCATATGTAAGACAGTTTTATATTCATTGGTCACAATGGGAAATAAAGGTCTGTCAGTTACATCTTTTATAGGGGCTCTCGTTGTGTACACTATTCCTGCCTCCAGAGATTCTTGTAACAAGCAGAAAATGAATTCTATGCAGAGAGAAAAAACCCAAATTAAGCATAATTTTCATAGAGTAAATACACTCATAAACAATATCAACATCAAGAAATAGAATGTGGCTGGGTTGGTGGCTCATGCTGGTAATTTAACCACTTTGGGAGGCCAAGGCTGGCGGATCACCTGAGGTCAGGAGTTTGAGACCAGCCTGGCCAAAATGGTGAAACCCCATCTGTACTAAAACACACACACACACGCACAAAAACTGGGCGTGGTGATGCACACCTGTAATCCCAGCTACTCAGGAGACTGAGGCAAGAGAATTGCTTGAACCAGGGAGGCAAAGGTTGCAGTGTACCAAGATTGTGCCACTGCACTCCACCCTGGGTAACAGAGTGAGGCACTATCTCAAAAAAAAAGAAATAGAATGTGCCCACTCCTCCGAAGCTCCCCTCATGCATGGCACCCTTGATTGACACCCTTCCAGTCACTATTCACACCCCCAACCCCAGGGAATGCTGGGGTAAGTCCCATTCTGGTGTATTATTAACAGTGTCACAGTAACGTTTGTTAGCATATATTTTAGTTAATGGCTAGATGCGTTTCTGTTGGATATGTACTTAGAAGTGGAATTGTTTGGTCACAGGGTATATGTATGTTCCAGTTGAGTAGAAACTGCCAGTTTTCCAAATGGCTATTACCTATTTAGACTCTTAGAAGCAGTTTTTGAGATTCTAGTTCTTCTTTTGTTTTTTTGTTTTTTTTTTTTAGAAAAAAAGAGAAAGAAAAAAAAGAATGAAGAGAGAAAGAAAGAGGAAGAGAAAGAAGGAGAACAGGAGTCTTGCTTTATTGCCCAGGCTAGAATGCAGTCCAAAAATGGGTATTGAAAACCTCTTTTATACTAATAATTGTGCTTAACAATGGAGACAGGAAGGAATAAGGGAGGAAAGTAATAAACAAGCAGCCAACCAATATTTCATTTAAACCTGTGAAATGCTATGCAATTAATAAGGAGTGATTCACTTCCAATTATGTAGTCACTTTTAGAGTAGGTGTGATGTGGTACTGATAAGAATGTATGTTTTGTGGATTTGGGGTGGAGAGTTCTATAAATGTTTATTAAGTTTACTTGTTCCGGGTCTGAGTTCAAGTCCTGGATATCCTTGTTAATTTTCTGTCTTGATCTGTCTAATATTAATGTGATGTTAAAGTCGCCCACTATTATTGTGTGGGAGTCTAAGTCTCTTTATAAGTCATTAAGAACTTGCCTTATGTATCTGGGTGCTCCTGTATTGGGTGTGTATATATTTAGGATCGTTAGATCTTCTTGTTGCATTGATCCTTTTACCATTATGTAATGTCTTTCTTTACCTCTTTTGATCTTTGTTGCTTTAAAGTCTATTTTATCAGAGGCGAGAATTGCAACTCCTGCTTTTTTTAAATTTATTTATTTTTGCTCTCCATTTGGTTGGTAAATCTTCCTCCATCCCTTTGTTTTGAGTCTTTGTGTATCCCTGCATTTGAGATGGGTATGGATGCAGCATATCGATGGGTTTTGGCTTTTTATCCAATTTGCCTGTCTGTGTCTTTTGATTGGGGCATTTAGTCGATTTAAATTTAGGATTAATAATAATATATGTGAGTTTAATACTGCCATTTGATGCTAGCTGGCTGTTTTGCCCATTAGTTGATGTAAATTCTTTATTATGTTGATGCACTTTCCCTTTTGATATATTTTTGGAATGGCTGATATGGGTTGTTCCTTTCTATGTGTAGTGCTTCTTTCAGAAGCTCTTTTAAAGCAGGCCTGGTGGTGATGAAATCTCTGAGTGCTTGCTTGTTCACAAAAGATTTTATTTTTCCTTCGCTTATGAAGCTTATTTTGGCTGGATATAAAATTCTGGGTTGAAAGCTCTTTTCTTTAAGGATGTTGAATATTGGCCCCAACTGTCTTCTGGCTTGTAGGGTTTCTGCTGAGAGATCTGCTGTGAGTCTGATAGGCTGCCTTTTGTGGGTAACCTGACCTTTATCTCCGGTGCCCTTAGAATTTTCTCCTTCATTTCAACCCTGGTGAATCTGACGATTATGTGCATTGGAGTTGCTCTTGAGGAATATCTTTGTGGTGTTCCCTGTATTAGCTGGAGTTGAATATTGTCCTGCCTTGCTAGGTTGGGAAAGTTTTCCTGTATAATATCCTGAAGCCTATTTTCCAGCTTGGATTGATTCTCTTCGTCACATTCAGGTACACCTATCAAACGTAGATTAGGTCTTTTCACATAGTCCCACATTTCTTGGAGACTTTGCTCATTCTTTTTTACCCTTTTTTCTCTAATCTTGTCTTCTCGTTTTATTTCATTGAGTTGGTCTTCAACCTCTGATATTCTTTCTTCTGCTTGATCAATTTGACTGTTAAAACTTGTGCATACTTCGCGAAACTCTCGTGTTGTGTTTTTCAGCTCCATTAATTCACTTATATTCCTCTCTAAATTGTCTATTCTCGTTAGCATTTCATCAAACCTTTTTTCAAGGTTCTTAGTTTCTTTGCATTGGGTTAGAACAGGTTGTTTTAGCTCACAGAAGTTTCTCATTATCCACCTTCTGAAGCCTGATTCTGACAATCATTATACTCATTCTCCATCAGGCCTTGTTCCCTTGCTGATGAGGAGCTGTGATCCCCTGAAGGAGGAGAGGCATTCTGATTTCAGATGTTTTCAGCCTTTTTGCACTGGTTTCTTCCCATCTTTGTGGATTTATCCACCTGTCATCTTTGTAATTGCCGACTTTCAGATTGGGTCTCAAGAGTGGATGTCCAGCTTGTTGGTGGTGATGTTATTTCTGTTTGTTTTCCTTCAGCGGACGCTCCTCCCCAACAGAGCTGGACCTTCCCGGGTTCAGCTGTGCTTGCTGTGAAACTCTCAACCATCAGCGTTTCCAATTGCTGTTTTTTTGTGGGGGTGGGACCAGCGGAGCCCAATCGCCTGGCTCCCCACCTCGGAGCCCCCTTTTTTTCTTTTCCTAGTTGAATGGTCGATTCTCTCCCAGGTACCCCAGTCACCCGCCAAAAAGTCACCACGATCTTCCCGTGCAGCGACCGCACCAGCTAAAACAGCGGCTCTGAGATTCATGGCGCTTTTCTGCCTGGGAATCTCCCAGTCTGGCTCCCGGCTTCAGTCCCCGTTTCAGTCAGCTGAATGGGCGACTCTGCCTTACCAGAGCTCCAAACGCCAACTAAAAGAGCACCCAATCCCACATACTCTGCACTGAGAACTGCCGTGCCAAGACACTGGCAAAACAGCGGCGTTGCGCCGGCAACCCGTGGGGCTCCTCCGCTGGGAATCTCCTGGTCCGTAGGCAACAAAAATTCATCTGGAAGTCTGGCGTCCACTCACTCCCTGTGCCTTCACTGGGAGCTATAATCCTGAGCTGCTGCTAATTGGCCATCTTGGATCTCTCTCTGAGATTCTAGTTCTTTAACATCTTTTTGTCAATTACAGAACGTTCTTTTCTGTTTCATTTTAGCCATTGTAGTAGGTAGGTCTTGGATTACATTTTCCTTTTAATTTGCACTTCCTTAATGACTAATGAAGTGGGGCTCTTAATGAAATAATTTTTTGTGTGTTTTAGATGGAGTCTCTCTGTCTCCCAGGCTGGAGCTCGATCTTGGGTCACTGCAACCTCCACCTCCCCGGTTCAAGTGCCCCAGCCTCCCGAATAGCTGGGATTGTAGACACCTGCCACTGTACCGGGTAATTTTTGTATTTTTAGTAGAGATGGGGTTTCACCATCTTGGCCAGGCTGGTCTCGAACTCCTTATCTTGTGACTCACCTGCCTCAGCCTCCCAAAGTGCTGGGATTACATGCATGAATCAAGGTGCCTGGCCAAAAAAATATTTAAGTTGTTACAATTTTTGATTTTAACATAGTCATTCACCTCTGTAATCCCAGCACTTTAGGAGGCCAAGGCAGGTGGATCACTTGAGGTCAGGAGTTTGAGACCAACCTGGACAACATGGTGAATATCTGTCTCTACCAAAAAATACAAAAATTATTGCTCCTGGGTATCATGGTGTGCCTGTAGTCCCAGCTACTTAGGAGGCTGAGGCAGGACAATTGCATGAATCCGGGAGGTGGAGGTTGCAGTGAACCTAGATTGTGCCACTGCACTCCAGCCTGGGTGACAGAGCATGACTCTGTCTCAAAAAAGAAAAAAAAAAAAAATTCAATTTTATTAGAATTCTTAAGTTTAGTTTTATTGGACCTTCTTGGTGAGAGCTTTTCTTTTTTCCCTAAATTTCTCTTCAAAAATCAGCCTCAAGAATTACAGGTAATACTGCCTTTGCTTTTTTTGTGTTCATTTCTGAAATTTACTTATAGTGTCTGTTTTAAATGATTAAGCACAACTTGTTTTAGCTGTTTTTTTTTTGAGCTGGAGTCTCACTCTGTTGCCCAGGGTGGAGTGCAGTGGCATGATCTTGGCTCACTGCAACCTCTGCCCCCTCATTTCAAGCGATTCGCCTGCCTCAGCTTCCTGAATAGCTGGGACTACAGGTGTGCAGCACCATATTTGGCTAATATTTGCATTTTTATTCAAACTCCTGACATAGTAATCCGCCTGCCTTGGCCTCCCAAAGTGCTGGGATTACAGGCATGAGCTGCCATGCCTGGCCTTAGCTGGTTTTTAAAAAGTGTAATTATAAGTACTCTGAATCCCTGGGGAATGGCTGTATTCTGAACCTGCCAGTGTAAATCTGTGATTTGCTTGGAATTGAGGGATTCCCCTACTGGCTGACCTCAAAGTACTGGGAAGAATAAAATAGATTTCAGAAGTCCATACTGGTAGATATCAATGAATAAGTAAATAAGTAGGGAACAAGGGAAAGCTTTCACATACAGTAGAACACTAACTCGTAAATACAGAGGGAATTAGAAAATAGAAAATTGCCATTTGGCAGCAACCACAGTAATAAATGTTTCATGCAAGAATTATCAGTAAATGCTAAATGTGGGCAAAACTTCAGTAAAAATAAACAATTTACAATATTTCAAAACACTTCCCTCAAGATACTTACTAATTACAAAGGGAAAAACACAGTACTAACTTTGTAGTGGAGAAACATGCAGACACCACCATAACCAAGTGATCAAGGTTAACATCGCCAGGAGTGAAACAAAATAGACATGCACCTCCTGATAGGATTTACTAAGAAGGCACAACACCATTCCTGCACCGGTGGCACTGGCAAAGTGCATAACCTCAGTCTAATTATGAAAAAACATCAGCTAAACCCAAATTCAAGGAATGTTCAAAATAAAAGATCTGTACACTGCAAAATGTCAAGGTCATGAGACATAAAGATTGAGGAACTGTTCCAGATTAAAAGAGACTAAAGAGACTTAACTAAATGCAGTGTGTGATACTGGCTTGGATCCTAGACTATGAAAAACTAAAAATGAAATTGAGACTTTAGTGGGATAATTGACAAACCGAAAAGGTCTACAGTAGATAATGGTCCTATGGAAACGTTAATTTCCTGATTTTGACTGTTGTACTGTAATTATGCAAAAGAATTTCCTTGTTTTTAGGAAATAGACAATGAATAGTTAGTGGCAAAGGGGCATCATGTCTGCTACTTAAGCTGTTTCAGTTCAGAATCAATTTGTATGATATAATGGGGGGTGAGGAAGAGACAGAATATGAATGTAAAGCAAACATGGTAACATTTTGGAAACCTAAGTGAAGAATGTATAGTAGTATTTTGTATTAACTTCTGTAGTCTTTCTATAAATTTGAAATTATTTCAAAATTTAAAAATATTGATATGACAAGGATTCTGAAGTCAGCCTGAAAGGGCTCCCACTGGCCAACACAGGAACAATGTGAGCACCAAGATCAGTAAGTTCAGTGGTGATTATAAACCACTGAACCAAAGAATATTTTAAAACCACTGGTGATTACTGGTGATTATAAACCAAAAAATCAAGCCAGGTCAAGTGACTCACGCCTGTAACCCCCACACTTTGGGAGGCTGAGATGGGTGGATCACTTGAGGTCAGGAGGTCGAGACCAGCCTGGCCAACACAGTGAAACCCCATCTCTACTAAAAATACAAAAATTAGCCAGGCGTGGTGGTGCACACCTGCAGTTGAGGCATGAGGCCGGAGAATTGCTTGAACCTGGGAGGCAGAGGATGCAGTAAGCCGAGATCGTGCCACTGCATTCCAGCCTGGGTGACTGTCTCCAAAAAAATAAAAGAAAAGAAAAAATATATGAATCTATATCGATAATAAATAGATAAATGAGGATAAGAGAGAACTCTTGTTTACAGCAGAGATTGAAGACCAGTAGAGGGGGTGAATTATATCTCAGTAGGCTGTTTATAAAAAATGTGATCCATGGATGAATAGATAACCAGTTGTGTTATATCTACCAAATGGAGTATTATTCAGTCTTAAAAAGGAAGGAAATCTGGTCACTTGCTACAGGATGAACCTTGAGGACATTATGCTAAATGAAATATGCCAGTCACAAAAAAGCCAAATACTGCATTATTCCAGTTGTATGAGCTATCTAAAGTAATCAAACTCAGACAAAGTGGAATGGTTGTTACTATGGAATTAGGAGATGGAGTTGTCTAATAGGTATAGAGTTTCAGATTTACAAGATGAAAAAGTTCTGAAGATATGTTTCATAGCAGTATGAACATGCTTAACACTACTGAACTGTACACTTAAAAATGGTTAATATGGTAACCAACTTAAGTGCTTGAATGCATTCTTTGTCAACAGCCATCATGTAATCAGAAAGCATCTTGTATCCCTAAGTTTATATTCATTACCAACAAACCTTAACACAAACTATAAAAGATTACAGTACAAAATGTAGTATGCTTTGCCAAGCTCACAATTTCTTTCCTTTCCTTTTTTTTTTTTTTTTTTTTTTTTGGTGGAGCCAAGAGTCTTGCTCTGTTACCCAGGCTGGAGTGAGTGCAGTGGCACAATCTTGTCTCACTGTAGCCTCTGCCTCCCAGGTTCAAGTGATTCTCCTGCCCCAGCTTCCTGAGTAGCGCGGATTACAGGCACGCACCACCATGCCTGGCCAATTTTTGTATTTTTAGTAGAGATGGAGTTTCACCATGTTGGCCAGGCTGATCTCAAACTCCTGACCTCAAGTGATCCACCTGCCTCAGCCTCCCAAAGTGTTGGGATTATAGGCGTGAGCAGCCGCAACTGGCAATTTTTTTGTTTTTGTATTTTAGTAGAGACAGGGTTTCACCACATTGTCCAGGCTGTTCTCCAACTCTTAACATGAGGCAGTCCGCCGACCTTGGCCCCCTAAAGTCTAGGATTACAGGCATAAACCACTGCACCTGGCCCCAAGCTCACAATTTCTATTCAATGCTTTTCACAGTGAGGGATAGGCAGTACAGCTTTCATTTGAATAATAACTCATTATTAAATGATTTTTCTGGACAGTGAGGTGAAAACAATATAATGTGATCCTTTTGTAAATTTATTTGAATTCAGCTGATTCTTAAAGCAATGGTAAAGAATATGTAAATAACTTACATCTTGTTAATTTCTTTGGACTCTGTGAAGGCACTGGCTGGCTATCAGAAAGACGAAACTCTGATTCCTCTTGGGAGACCCAGCCTAGAGAAAGGAAGTAAAAATTGTCCATTGTTAATCAAATAGGAAGTAGCATCAGAAAAACAAGAAAAGGTAAAAATATCTAAGTCCTCCAGTCTTTGTACCTGGGTAAGATTCTATAAGAGGTATAAAATACTGAAAATTTATCTATAGTCTTATATTTTAATCATCTTAGTTTCAGAAAGAGTTGGATCTGACTTCTTTACATTTTTCAAAGTGGTTTTGAAATAAATATATGGGATTTAAAAAAAATAATTGAAATGCAGAATATATAGGAAGAAGTTCTAAAGAGTCAAGAAGAAAAGGAACAGGTCTGATAATTGGAATGTTTAAACCTATAAATATGTTTATACCCTTGGACTCAGTGATCCAATTCCCAGAAATTTATCTTAAGGAAATAATTTAGCTGAAGGAAAAAGTACATACATGATTTTTTTTTTTTTGCAGTACTATCTGTATTAATGAACATGTAAAAACAATAAGGAATCAGGTAGATTATTGTGTATAAAATGACAATTCTTTGTAATTAAAACATGTCATGAATACTCTATGAGAACATGGAGAAATGTTTGCTACAACATAAAAAACCATTTATGCTATGATTAAGGCACAGCACTAGAAAGGAACTTAGATAATCCTGCCTGATCCCTTCCTTTTATAGAAAAGATCATCTGAGGCCCAACGTAGATAAGGTTCCTCAAACACAGATCTTTTAGCTCTCTGGGAAGCTCACTTTCCTGGTCTACTTCATAGATGAGAGAAGTAGATATAAAGGAAAGACTGGTAGAGTTCTATACAAAGAAGCAGGAGGCAGATTTTGCTCCTGCCTTAACTATTGAAACTGTCTGATGACCTTGAGCAAGTTACTCAAATACTGTGCGTTTCAACTGCTTCAGCTACTAAATGGGAATATCCTGTCTGTCTGCAGGTAGGGATGAGAGCACATATTTTGAGTGGTGAAAAAATATTGTTGATATTACATTGCCAGAAACTAAAAGTTTAGCACTGCTAGAGACATGGCAAGTTAGGGAGGAAGAGGGAGGAGGTGATAGTGGGAATGAATCAGTTTGTAAATCTTTATAGCTACTGGGCCATTGATATTCCACACAAGAATAAATATTTTTTAAAGATTTTACTGTAGCAAAATACCTGAATTATCCCAGATAGAGTGCCTCTTTATCAAATAATATTGTCCATTCTTACCGTTAGTCTATTCAATAAATTCTTACTGAGTGATTTAACTGACATTTAGGTTTTTTGTTTTTTGAGACAAAGTCTCACCCTGTCTCCAGGCTGGAGTGCAGTGGTGCAATCTCGGCTCACTGCAACCTCCGCCTCCTAGGTTCAAGCGATTCTCCTGCCTCAGTCTCCCAAGTAGCTGGGACTACAGGTGCACGCCACCACACCCAGCTAATTTTTCCATTTTTAGTAGAGATGGGGTTTCACGATGTTGGCCAGGATGGTCTTGATCTCTTGACCTCGAGATCCGCCCGCCTTGGCCTCCCAAAGTGCTGGGATTACAGGTGTAATCCCGGCTGATATTTAGTTTATTAACTGAGCTAACTGCATGCTACTGTCAGAGATAGCACAAAGATGACTCATTCCACATATCATGCCTTGGGATGCTTGCAGATAAAGTATGTATGTCAATATTTAATACAAAGTACAATGCATTAAGACACTGCTAGATGCTGTGTGGGATCCCCCCCATCCAGGGGTTAAAATCTACTGGGATGTGAGAGACTGGGATGTCAGGCAAGATAAAGTAGGATTAGAGCCATGAAAATAGATAAAGCAAAGCACCATGGTAGGCCAGAGGAAGGAGAAACCATTTCCATTTGGCAGCACTGAGGAAGACTTCAAGGACTGACAATCATGGAAAAAACACTGAATTGGGATCTAATACTCAGGCCCACGTCCAGGCTCCATTACTGAACATCATAAGCAGAATCAACAACACAAGCACAGATAGATGCATCAGAGGGCTCTGGAGCGCTCAGTGTGACGTCGGAAAATGGCAAGTATTCTTACTTCACTTTAAGAGGAGATAGGAATTATGGGTGGAAATGCAACATAGGCAGGTTTTATCCTGGAAACTATGGTGTTTCATTTTAAAAAGTGTAAGCCGGTACTGACATCAGAATCTGCTGCTTGGAGAGAGAAGTGTGGAGGAAGTGTGGAGGGTGAACTGGGGGTTGGAGACCTGTTAGAAACTCACAGTAACCTAGGAAACCAAATGAGGCTCTAAATGGCTCTGGTGTGGAGGCAGAGAGTAGTGGGACATTTGAGACAGGTTTCAGAAACAGAACTGACAGGATTTGGTAACCAATATGGATGTGGGAAACAAAGTGACCCCCAAGGTGCAGGATTGGACACAGGATGGTGGACTCTCTCCTGCTGCCTTGCCCAGAAGGCTGTCCTGGAACCAGCCTCCAGAGCTGTTCCTTTGTCTTGTTAACTCTGAACACACCAAGTTTTACTTGATGGAAGAAACAGTATTGCCTGCCCTAGGTACGAGTAATTAGCAGGTCAAGTGTTTTAAATCAGACACCTGGGAAAATCAGTGAAGAAAACATGGGGTCTGGTGAAGGTGGGAGGGAAGCAACCCTTGCTTCAGTCTGTTGACAGATTCCAGAGGTGACTAATGTTTTTCCAGTTGATTGGTGGACTGCACATTTTATCTAACAGTGCTGACATTAAAATCAATCTTGTTGATTCTAGCGTCAATAAGCACACAGTTTTGCTCATAAAGTAAAGCTCATGTGTCCAAATGTTTCATAGACACTTACTGTTGAACGCTCCAGCCGCATGAAAGCCAAGGTCAAAGAGTTGTGAAGGAAGGAATTGAGAAGAATGAACAAGGGGCTCAGACCCCATGGAAGGCTCTTGGGACGTGAGACTGGCACTGGGGCTCCAAAAGGCAGTCTGGCATTCTTGGGTAAATTCACTAGTACTTGAAGAACCAGAACTTAGGAGGTTGTTCAGAAATGAGAATTCCTTCTCAAAATCTTCTCCTTCCAGTGAATCCACAGGTAGATCTTTTGCGACTACTGAGTGTAAATAAAAAAGTCTTTTTTGATTTTAGGAAATGAGAGTAAGGCATAGGAAAAATCAAATTTGTTTCACTGTTTTTATACTGTATTAATGTAATTTTAAGTGAACAACTAAATTGACTGCAAATTTATGTGAAACTATTTCTAATTAGGCAGAATTTAGGCCAAAATGGCCACATTTCACAATGAAGATGTAAGTTATGAATAACTATGAAACAATTAAGCTACCACCTAAGTCAGAAACTAAAGGAGATGCAAAAAGACATAGAAACAAATTAATAATACAAGATTAATAATGGTATAATATTAATTAATATACCATTCTGACTAAAAAACAGGCCAAGAGGACAACAGATTAAAGAGCATAATCAATAATGTAGTTATTTTGGATATACACCAACCTTGGTAATAGAAACATTCTTCTTGAGCACACATTGAAAATGTACAAAAGTTGATTATACTAAGGCACACACAAAAAAATCATTGTGTTCTTAAAGTAGGAACATTACACACAACATGCTCTTATCATAATGCAATAAAAAGACAATTCTAAAATTAAACTATAAAACCAAATAGGTTCTTCCATCTGTAAATTTTAAAACCTACTAAACAACTCTTAGTTGAAAAGGGAATGGACTTTCTGAAAAATAATGATGAGGGAAATATTTCATATTATAATCCATGGTGGTAAGTAAAATGTATAGAAAACCATTGTTTTGGACTGAGCTCCTGTACTAGACCCAACAGATCAAACCAAAATGGGGTTGATCATGCTAAGTTCCACATCATCACCAAACTAAAACTAAGTTATCTGGCCTTTCAAGAAATCTGGACAGAGATATAGCCAAGTCCCCAAGCAGACCAGTCCTAGCTGGCATGATAAGGAAGTCCCCTCTGCTTTAACTGTTACAAGAAAAGTAACTTTGCAATGATCGATCCACTTTTTGTTTTCTGCTTCTGCTTTCCTCTATCCTTTTCTGTCTATAAAACCAACCTCCTCAGAACACTCATTCTATTTTATAGAATGGAGTGTTGCCTGATTCTAGAATTGCATGTAAAAACCAATTAAGGTCTTTAAATTTGTTGTAATTTTACCTTTTGACAATGGAATACTTAAATGGCATAAACAAAGGAAAAATCATAAACACTTTTATCAATAAAAGTGAAAGGGAGGGGCTTCATGGACCTGCACCCCAGCATAATTGGTGAAAGTTATTTTTCAAAAGAAGCATTTAAAGTCTCTATAACTGGTCCCAGGGATGTGCAGCAAATGAATAAATATTTACTTAAGAAAATCTATAACTTAGGAAAAACAGCAAGAGTTTGTGGTATTTGAACTGAGGACCACTCCCATCCTCCCACTTCCCAACTTAGCAAGATGGAGATTCCACTCCTGTTGGTACAGCCAGAACACAGGGCTCCTTCTCCCTCCAGCTATCAATCAAGGGCTGGCATCCTAGGAGGAGCAGGATGCCAGCATTTCACATCCTGTCCCCAGTTACCTGTTGCTGAGGTGAGTGCAGTCAATAGATGATAGAGGCTCCCATCGCCTTCCCAGATCCCATTTATGGGTTGGGAAGTCCGAGTTTGGTGTGGTGTCCTGAGAATATAGGGCCCCTGACCACTTGACCCTGCTAGTAAAGTGGTGGTTTCATGAAGAAAGAGGCAAGCCAAGAAGACCTAAGGTTACTGTCACTCTCCTTACCTAGCACTCATCTCTTATAGCAAGGATGACACACAGAAAGTAGCATGCCATTGTCCCCACTCCCAGCTTAAGCTCTGACTCAGAGATTTTCCTTGCAGAGAGTGAGGGAGAAGCCGACCATACAACAGATAGTTCCTAATCCCTTTCCAAAGGCACCGACTTCATTTGCAACAGAGTGTCGGAAGTTCAACCCTAAGGATGCTCTCAAAACAGTGGAGGCTGTCGCAAAAAGGCAACTGGGAGAAGACTCATAGTGTCATTAAACATGTAGGCTAAACTGTAGGCCAGCTACTTTGCCTGAAGGAACCAGGAAAAAAGCCAGCTGGGGTCACCACAAATTTCAGTGACCTTGAGAACTATTTCTTCAAATGAGTCCAAATTTGATTGGTATATTGTATGGAATAATTTATGCTCCAGGGCACTGCTGAAATCAATAGAGCAATCAATCAGCTGGAAGAAGAAAAAATGACAAACTGGACTTACAAAACAAAGAATTTTGTGCTTCCAAAGGCAAAACTGAGAAAACAAAAAGACTGGGACAGAATACTTACAAGTCATATATCTGATAAAGGACTTTATCAAAAAATATGTAAACTCTTACAACTTAATAAGATTAAACCCCAATTTAATAATGGGCAATAGATTTGTCTGCAAGGAAGATATATGAATGGCCAATAGCACATAAAAAGAGTCTCAACACCATCAGTCACTGAAGAAATGGAAATTGAAGCTACAAATTAAAAGCACTAGAATGGCCGTCCCTGGTGACTCATGCCTGTAATTCCAGCACTTTGGGAGGCTGGGGCAAGTGGGTCACCTGAGGTCAGAATTTGAGACCAGCCTGGCCAACATGGCGAGACCCCATCTCTACTAAAAATACAAAGTTAGCCAGGCATGGTGGGTCATGCCTGTAATCCCAGCTACCCAGGAGGCAAGGCTGGAGAATCACTTGAACCTGGGAGGCGGAGGTTGCAGTGAGCTGAGATTACGCCATTGCACTCAGGCCTGGGCAACAAGAGCAAAACTCCGTCTCAAAAAAAAAAATTTTTTTAAGAAAAAAGCTCTAGAATAACTATTAATTAAAATATACTGTACATGGTGGCTGATGGCTGATGCCTGTCATTCCAGAACTTTGGGAGGCCGAGGCAGGTGGATAACTTGAGGTCAGGAGTTCAAGATCAGCCTGGCCAATATGGTGAAACCCCTTCTCTACTAAAAATACAAAAATTACCTGGGTATGGTGGTGCATGCCTATAATCCCAGCTACTCAGGAGGCTGAGGCAGGAGACTCAATCACTTGAACCCAGGAGGTGGAGGTTGCAATGAGCTGAGATTGTGCCAGTGCACTCCAGCCTGGGTGACAGAGTGAGACTCCATCTCAAAAAAATAAAATATAAAATATAGATAATACCAAATGTTGGCAAAAATGTGGAGAAACTAGAACCCTCACACTTTGCTGGAAATAAAATGGTGCAATTATGTTGAAAAAAGTTTGCCAGTTCCTTAAGAAATTAAATTTACCGTACTGCCTCACAATTCCACTCCTGGGAATCTAACCAAGGAAAATGACAATATATGCCCACACAAAGAGAAGTACGTGAATGTCCAGTGGTGGTATTCTAATAGCCAAAAACTATAAACAATCTAAATGTCCATCTACTGGTAAGTAAACATAAGATGGTATATCCATACAATGATTGAATACTATTGCTCAACAAAAAGTAATAAACTACTGATACATACAACATGGATGACTCTAAAAAAACATTAAGTGGAAGGTGCCAGAAATAAAGGACTACCTTTTTGCATGGCTTCATTTATATTAAATGTCTAGAATAAAGGCAATTTATAGAGACAAAAACAGATTACTAATTACTGACGGCTTGGAGTGAATCAGAGATTAATTTAAAACAAGTGTGAGAGAATAATTTGAGGGTAATGGAAACATTCTAATATCCAATTGTGGTGATGGTTGCATAATCTAAATTTACTAAAAATTATGAACTGTTATACTTAGAATGGGTGAAATTTATGGTAATTAAATTATACCTAAATAAAGCTGTTAAAAACAATAGAAATTTTATACAGCTCTATTGCAAATAAATTTAGAAGTCTAGAGAATGAATAATTTCTTATATATTTACTAAAATCAATCCCAGTACAGATTAAAAGCTGAAACAGACTAATTTCTATATACAGAGAAAAAAAATACACACAAGAAAGCACCAGACCTAGACATTTTCATAGATTAAGACAT